TCAGTTTATCGCATTAAGAATTTTAATATATACTTCACTTAGATAATTAATAAGATGGATAACAAACATATAAGAAAGATATATTTAAAAAAATAATAATTAATTATGATAAATTCATCAATTAAAGTAAACTTATTTATTTATTTACTTGTTTGTTTTTATGAATATTAATTTTCTTATCAAAAAAGAGATAATAGTTTATCTTAAATTTTCATTGTTTTTTCTATTATTTGGTTTTCAATCATTAACTTGGCAAATTCCATTGATGTAATATAGCTTTCGAAAAAAATGTATAAAATAAATTTAAAGAATAAATCTTTATTTTTGTTTTTTAGTAGGAATAAAATCTGATAAAATTCATCCTCTTACTAGTTAAGATTCGGATATTATTGCTTGTAAAAGCTAAAAAGTTTATAATTCCTAATTTAAATTTTTTTTTAATCTAGACAAATTTAAAAATCTTCATCTTTTACATCTATTTTATGAGTTAATGATAAGTTTTCAAAATTGGAGTAGTTATTTAATTTTAACTATTTTGCTAAAAGAACAGCACATTAAAAAAGATAATTGTCAATTTTATAAGAATCCGTTTTTTATTTTTCTAAACTTTGCTAATCAAAAGGCTTTGAAATACAATTCATTAATAGCAATAAACAAATAGCTTCTTTTTCTTATTAAGAGTTGATAAATTAAATATAGTCATTAAATTTAGGGATTTAAGATAAAAGAATTTCCTTTATTTCACTTAGATTATTTTTTGAGGAACTCAAAACAAACTTATTCTAGTTTATTGAGCTAAATAGTGCTTTTTCAATGTTTTTAGATAAAGAATTCTTTTTATTTTTTTTTACCAAATAATGCAGAGCCTAAAGAATTGTAGGTAAAATTGCAAAAGCAAAGCCAAGTGAAAAAAATAAAGTTCTAAATCCGATCATCATTATGATTCCTTCAGCTCTTAAAATCTCTCCTCCGAGAATGATAGACACCTAAGATGCATAAAATATTAGCGAGGCTGCTAACATATTTTTAGCAATTTCATTACCTTCATTAACTTTATAATTATTAATTTATCTTTCATATTCTCTTATTTCTTATGGTTTTACTGAATCTAAATTAGAATACAACTCTAAAATTTCATTTTATTCTTTAATTTTTAGTACTCTTCCCTATTTTTCCATTGATATTTATAGCATAGTTTTAAAT